CTTCAAAATGTAATTGTCTGTCACTCTAAAAATATTAGGTGAGCTTAATAAGAATGGGGAATCTTTATACCCTTGTGATTTCACCTCTGATTTTCTGTTGTTAGGTAACAGTATTAATGTTTCTAAACTTCCAGGCAAAATTGTAGCCTTTGCAATAAAAGTATTAATAAATACTTTTATTAAATCTCATTTATTAAATTACTTTAAGAATATAATTTGATCCTGCTTAAAGGAAGCATAATATTTAAGCACTTTGAAAAATGTTATTTTAATAATTTGGTTATCTTTTATCAAATTTCCTTACAAAAGTAATGAAAGTTTTAAAATTTCATAACAACGAGCTGGCTTATTAGAAATATGAATAATAGCTTATAAAAATAGGTAATGATACTTAAAATTTTTTGTCATTAGATAATTATAAATTATTGGAAAGTCTACACACTAAATATCCTTTAAAACAATGTTTAATTACTGCTCCAGGTGTGTGATGTGATCCAAAAATGTCTGTTTGTAGACAACTATTATAAAGTCTAAACTCTTTAAAATTAGTGTCTCATTGTTATGTGTTCAGCAGAAGTTTTTATCAATATACTGAAGATGTTGGGAAAGAATTACCTAATTATTCTGAGAACTTGTTCTATGATTTTTATTTAAAAAAAATGTATTATTTCCAGATTTGGAGGATGGAGTGGGAGAATTGATGATAAAATCTGTTCTGTTTATTTTAAACTACATGATTTTGATTGAATATTATCTTTTGTGTTATTCTCATAATTTTATGTCTCTAAATATGAAGCAATTTCCAGACTCAGACATCAAAGACTTTCAGAAATAGAAGACAAATTTGCCATTTCAAGGAACTCAAATGAGGTTTTTATTCAATGTACTTTATAAATAAGTCTCCTTAGTTATATAATTTTTAGTTGGAACTTCAAACAATGTTTTCGATTGCTTTTTCTCCCTATTGCAGCAGTTTTTTGGCTGCAATGCCTGGCATTGACCTTTTCACATCACTGACTCTATTAAACTTTCTGAAGTATTAGTATCCTATCTCACATATGTGGAAATCAAGTATTTAGGGTCCTGAAGAATCTTACATGGATTCAAAGTCACAGTTATTTGAGACTGCATCACTCCTATTGATTGTGAATGTGTATGTCACTCCACTAGCCTGCCTATTTTAGCGTTAGTTTTTATTTTTATTTAATTTTTGTTTTATGTGTATATACATTTACAACTTGTGTGTGGGGGCCCCTGGAGGCCAGAAGAGGGAAACCAATTCCCTGGGAAGCACAGTTCCAGATGGTTATGAACCTCCTGATGTGAGTACTGAGAAATGTATCTGGGTTCTCTTTAAGAGCAGTAAGTAATCAATTGCTTTGGCACTGCTCTAGAATCACTGGCTTATGCATAACATGTCAGACATTATAAGAAAATCAATGGAACTGACTGCATAGATATTTTCTGTATATATCCTTTATGGAGCATTAGTGATTGCTGATGATCTTTATAGAAAGGCATGAGCACAGGACTTCTGAGACCACAACAAACTCTTCTGGTTTTTGAGAGCAGGCAGCCAACAAGACAAATAAGTGACCATACCCATGGTCGAGTAAATAGTTGGCTTATGTTGAATAAATTCTAAAAAACCAATTCCACATATTTTACAGTGACTGGCATGATTATGTTTTCAGTATACTCAGGCATTGGGCTTGTGCTGTTATTGTTGAGGAGGGCAATTTAATTCCCCAATCCAGTTGAGAAAAGCAATGCATAAATGTGCTCTTGGTCCACATTACTACAAGCTGTGGCAGAGAACTGAATCTAGTTCTAGAGAGCCTTCACCCAGAAATTAAAGAGATCTGTCATGTTTGAATAGGTCAGCTTTCTATGCGGTAGTCTGTGTCTTTAGATTGGTGCTTTCATTCTCGTGGGAGTGAACTCCATCACAAAGCAATTCACTTCAGCTTCTCCTTGCCTCAGAAAGACCAGGGAAATTGACAGTCAACCTACTAGTGAGGGCCAGTAGGCAACAAAATACAAAGAACTGAGGGACAGCAAATCAACAGTTGTCCAAAGAGGGTAGAGATTGGTTCTATTGCAGTATATAATGCTATTTCCTTGGATAGGTGGCAAATGATTTTATTGTAATCAGTTGTACAACAAAATTAAGGGTAAGAAGAAAAATACATATTCAGTGTAAGAATGAAATGTCTGGCTTTCTAAATTTTTTTTGAAGAAAGAAAGAGAAAATATTGTGGAAAGGGGTGTTGCTGAAAAAAGCAATGAGAAATTTACATTCATATACATATATATATATATATATATATATATATGCAAAAACAACATGACAAGGGATGTAGAGATGGCTCAGTGGTTATAAAGGATAAACATTAGATTCCTATGCCCCACATGGTAGCTCACAACTGTCTGTACCTACTATCTCAGGAAATCCAAACGCCTCTTCTGGTCAATGGGCACAAGGCATGTACATGGTGCACAGATATACATCCAAGACAAAAACAACATACAAATAAAAGACCAAAATATTTTAAAAGCTATATTAAAGCAGAAGGTATTGTATAGCTGTGAATTTCTACCAGAATGGAAAACTAAAAATCTCAGTGATTGCAAAGAGTAACTGGCAAGTGATAAAAATAGCACTTGCACAACCATAAAAATACTCTCTTTGGGTTGCTGCCTTGCTGGTCATTGCAATACAAGGGTAGATTTACATGTTATGGTGCCAGCATGGTAGCATAAATTACCATCAGGTCATATCAGAGTACAGCTTAATCGAAGGCCTTAGGTTTCATCCTAAGCATGGCAAATGAAAAAACAAAAACCCAACTTACAGATTTTAAGACATGCATTTTAAATCATGTCATATTTCTTATTTATGTTTTTCTAGCGCCTTCTGAGTGCCCCCATTCAGGGATGCATGTTGTCTACATATGCTGAACTGACTTTCCCAAATGACCATACTTATTCACATTCTGCATGATGGACGGAATGGGCTATATTTACAAAGCAGTGTGTTCTCACTTCACTCAACAGTTGGTCAGTGGTCTTCCTCACAAAGAAAGAAAGGGCCTGTTATTTCTGTGTGCTATTATGAGTCCAGTCAGTTCTTTCAAAACAAGTACAATGATAAAAGATAATAGAACAATGGAAAACTGTCTAATTGTGATGCTGATAGTTGTACACAACTACATTTCATTTGGAAAGCAGCTACTTTAAAGGAGATTAGATCTATGAAGAATTCTTTTAATTATTCTAACATTTATTTTTCATCATAGAAAAATGGCTATAGGTCATCTTGTATTGAAAAACAAACAAAAAAAAACCCACAAAACATAGGGCTAAATGTCATTCATTTGGTGTTTCCTCAGAAGCAAATACTACGCCAGATGCTTTGTATGTTGACACTTGTATAAAATATCATTATCCACACGTACACAAATGGAAAGAAATAACTTCAAATGCAAGTTATTGGTTAGGTGAGTTGGCTAGCTAGTAGTATGGTCAACTTTCTCAAATTAATCAGACTGATTTCAAGTCTGACCTTTTAATTATCACTGACTGTATCTTTTCACAGGGAGAAATTACTTCTAGGAAGGATTATATATTCCCCATAGATGGAAATGAGACAATACAATGTAACTCTATTAGTGATGTTTCTGTGTTTTTATCTGGGCTGTGACAATGACTAACAAACAATGGCCTGCTATGATTTTACTGCTAAATATGAAAGTAACATCTACCTATGATTTTCAAATGTGGAAAACTGATTTAAACACCCAAAACTGTCAGAATGTTTGATTTAATGTAGACAGGTGCTTTGTGGACTTTTCATGTCTGTGTCATTGAATTGCAAGATAATTTTAAAAGATATTCCTTTATAGGCCTTTATTCCCAGAAACTACTTCAGAGTTTTAAATTTGCCTGGTTCTTAATAGAACTTTCATAGGTTGCATGTGTAATTTGCAAATACAACTTCAATTTCTTGCTGTGAATTTGAAACCCTAACTCCAACCAAGCCCCTACTTGTCAATATACTGTCACTTTGTGACAGTTTATGATACTTAATGAAAAATGCATCATCTCACTTCCTCGCTGGTAGATGTACCTATTTTATTACTGGGGGTATACTGTTACTATCAGGAAATGATGTAGAGAACATCAGACTGTCTTTTAAAAAGTATTGGGAAGTGATCTTTGAGATTCTAAATAGCAAGTTCATTTTTGTCTGAAAGTAACAGAGGAGAATGTAGCATAGCCACATAAAAAGTAGCTTAGGAATAAATATTTTTGGTACACAGATTTCCAGTAGATTAGAAAATATAGGTGGTTTTTCTAAGATTTCATTGTCCTCCTCTAAAATCTCTGATGTCACTCTAGAGGCCAGACAGTGAAGATCTTAATAAATTCTACTAAATGAATGGTTCTTGTTGGCTGAGAGCATAGTTAGAGTAACCTCTATAACTTACAAAAATAAACAAGTAGCAATTAGTATCGTATGTAAAGGCTTCTCAATGTGATATGAATCACCAGCTAACTCCAGCTTTCATAGTTCATCACCCAGTTGAAATCCTACAACTAGTAATGCTAGTTAACTGAAAAGTCTTCACTTTATTTCTGATTCATTAAGCCCATGCCTGATGTGGGAGTGTCATTTATCAATCTGTTGGTTTCAGTGGTTAATTAATAAAGAAACTGCTTGGCCTGATAGGTTAGAACATAGGTCGGTGGAGTAAACAGAACAGAATGCTGGGAAGAAGGGAAGTTAGGCAGACGCCATGCCGCGCCTCTCCAGGGCAAGCAAGCCACCAGGTCAGACATGCTGAACCTTTCCCCGTAAGACTGGTGCTACACAGATTACTAAATATGGGTTAGGCAAGATGTGAGAATTATCCATTAAGAGGCTAGAATTAATGGGCCAAATAATGTTTAAAAGAATACAGTTTTCATGTAATTATTTCGGGGCATAAGCTAGCCAGGCGGCCAGGAGCAGGGTGGCAGGAACGCAGCCTGCAGCTCCACACTACACATGCCAAATTCATCAGTGGTGAAATGGTCAAATGTTAGAGAAGGGGGTTCTGTAAAATCATTTGGGACTAATCTAGAATCAGATCTGAGTTATATGGGTAGATGTACTACCTGGAGTATCCATCGGAAAGTACAGATGAACAGTGAGCAATTCTTTACAAAAAAGAAGGGGGCCAAGAATTCTCAAAGTTAACAATCAAAATCAATAGTGTATATTGTGAAAAAAAGACTTGTGTAATTGTGTACATATTATACGTATCTGTTTGTATTTCTCAAACAGAGAAGGCTGTGCTTTCTGCTGTGGTGTGTACATAAATCTATCTTCTGAGATTATTTCAGTGGGGAAAAAGGGAGGAACCATCACATTATCCTTTTACACAGAGAGATCACTGTCTTTAAAAATAGATGTTGCTTTTACAGTAGCAGGGTACGAACACTTTACAGTCTGCTTCATTTCTGCCTTCTTTGTTGTCTATGAAGAATTTCTCATGTTTCTCATTTACATTACAGCAGAAGTACTGGTTACATTCCGGTGAATTTACTCAGATAAACACAATGGGTTTTCTTTTAAAATAAGCCTTTACTGAATATATCAACAAGGTACTGTATAGTGTAGAGTGAAGTTGGTAGTTAACAAAGTGTGCAACATGGTAGGTCTCAGAGGATGCATGACATGGAATCTTCCAGCCCCTTGAAGTCCCTTGTCAGAGAAACACACTAAACACAAACTGAAATCAAATCAACATATGCTTCAAATAGTAACAGATCATCAAACTTAACATTCAGTAAATATTATCCTATGAGGGCATACAATAGTGATGCCTCATTTTGTTGGAGCTGGCTACAAATCTCACATTCCACAGACACCTTTACAAACAGTCCATGTATTATGTATGCATGGAATTGCATGTTTTATGTTAATTTTAAAATGCTTGTCGCAATGGCCTTGGTTTGTGCTCTTCTGGTGGATGTGCAGCTATAAAATGAAATACTATAACAAAACAACCTGGTTTGCTAAAACAGCTTCATACTGTGTACAAAATGTATTCTCCACAATCAGTGAAAAGCATTGCAGTTGCCAACAATTGCTTCAATCCTGCTGAAGAAACTGGAGAAGGGTGTAGATACAGCTTCCTACCATTATTTATCTTAACTAAAAAAAGAAGAAGCTAAGTTTGACAAGATTAATAATTGAGACTTGTTGTTTTTGTTTTTGTGTGTGTGTGTGTATTGTTTCCCTGTTGTTCACTCTTCCTTTTTGCTTTCCCATTTAGTTGGAGAAGCAAGTTTTGAGTTTATGTGTTATTCTCAAGTTCTAAAGCAACATCTAATATCCCCTTTTGATAGGTCAGAGATAAACCCTAGAAAAAGACATTGATGAAAATTAATCACCTCACTGTCAAAAGCTGCAGGGATGCTGCAGCTGAAATTTGCTGATCCAGTGTAGCACCTGCCTCTGAAGAAAACAATGGTGCCTTGTATTTGAAATGGATGCTCTCCTCACATGAAGAGTTATGCTTTCTCCAGGGAAGAAGGAAGTTCTGGCTGTGCGGCATGACTAAGACCATTATGACCTCCACTATTTAAAAAAACAGAGGTGTAATATTAGTTACACCGTTAATACACTTTTTTTCCAAAAAGATCACATTATAGTTTCTTTTTTTCTATTTTACCCTTGGGTGAAAATGTCTAATATTGTATCAACAAACATCTGGAAAATTAGAAATAGCATTATTTCTCTCAAGGGAGGATTATTCCGCTTATATTATAAATAAATAGGTAACACCCTTCTCATGTCTGTGATTGTCACAAGTGTTGTACTTCCTAGCCAAGGAAGTGACTGTGTTTAAGTGAAACCCAGGGTTGCTCCAGGGTCATATGCATCTCTGTAAGCAAGGAGGTACTGGTGATTACCTTCTGTTTAATCACTGATAACATCTGTGTGACCTTGATTTACTTTTTTCTTTTGCAATGTCCTCTAGTAGTTACAGTTATTGTACTGACAGGGAGGGTGAAACTATCTGAGAAAACTCAACTTTAACTCTTAATTAATCACCTCAAAAGAAATAATGATGAGGCTAAGAGAGGACCAAACACATAGGAGATACAACTGCAGGACAGTCTCCTGACTAAAGGTGCCAGTCAAAATATCATCCAGTAAGGACTGGTGCTCATCTACTTTTGTAAATGTATCATAAGCTAGTACAGATTACACGATGTGATTTTGACTCTGGTGTAGGAGTCCCTAAAGCACACTTCTACAGATAGTAGTCTGATTTTCATGGCAGATGTCTTTGCTATGCTGCTCATAAATCAAAATGAAGATCTTTTTTTTTTTTTTTTAAACACCTCTACCAGAGCAATTTTGCAAGCAACTTAACCATTGTACATGACTGGGTCTCTTCAGTACCACTTCAACTTTCTATAGTGTTGTGGATGCCATTCAACATTGTGGGAACCATGCCATCTTTCTGCTGGGTCAAAGAAAAGACATTTCCATAGTCCTGAATCCCACTGGAAGTTAAACATACAGTACGAACCGACAATACTGATTATCTTGTTTATAACAAAATAGAAATCTTCAAAAACCAAAGTACCATTATAATTTTCAGCACACAGTTTTACCTACAGTGAGATGCAAGAGGACAGTGAAAGGAAAACACTTAGCTAATACACGGAGCCCCATATCACTGTCCTGATTTTTGATGATGTAACGCTCCACTGATCACCATTCCAGATGGTCTTATTTCTTCACTGTGTGAACCTACTTTTAAGGAACCAACAGCCCAAACCCGCTAGCTAATAGACGAAAGAGGAAACCCGAGTCACTTTAGAATTAATTAAATTAATTCATAACTATGTTCAGCTCTACTGACTGCACATCTCAATGCTTGTGTCTATAACATTATCGCTGCAGTTATATTTTCTGCTTATTCTGAGGAATGAGGGAGATTAAAACATATAAGTCAGGGTATATTATTAAAGAAAATAAAGCTCTTGCTATAAAGAAAAGCTTGCATAGCATTTTATACTTAAAATTTTACAAGAAGACACATCACAGTTTTATTTTGCTTAGAGAGAAAGAGAAAGCAAGAAGAGGGTGACATTTACTTCATGAGTCCCTAAAGTGATGGATGGTTGTAAAGGAATACAGAATGAAATGCCTAAAGGTGGTTTCGAAAAAAAAATTTCCCAAGGGTAAATTTCTTTAAGCAATGTATGTGGTCTATAGCCCTTCTACACCTAAGGGATGACAATAATTAGGGTAAATTATTCATGCTTTCTGAAAATGGACTTGCTTCAAAAATATCTAGCATCAATAGTGGGCATCCCTTGCTTTCCTATACCCTCTGCCAGGATGAGAGAAATATTGCATTCTCTGACTTACTCATTTTCATTGGTGGTCTTTTAGCATAAAGTTAATTATCACCCTCAGATGAACAAATTAGAGGGACATCCACAACTGAAAAGGAACAAGTGGGAATTTTGAATGTGGAAAAGGATCAAAGCTAATTCCTAATGGAAACATAGTATTGCTTTTTAACAATACGCATTATTTTGGCCAGTTTGGTGTCTCCACAGAATCATTGGCAATTGATATTAATATGGATTTTAATACATAGAAATACACAGGGATCATTTGTGCGACCAAGATTCGCGTCCACAATTTCTTTGAAATACTAAGCAGAGGTGGTGGATGGGAAACAAAGGGGGGATATACAACTTAATTACAAAAAATATACGCAAGATGATTGGAAGACAAGAATTTGAGAGGGGATATAGGTATTAACTCAAGCTATTTCAACATGATACTAACAAAGTCAGCTGATACAGTGTAAGAGTATCACTGATGTTTTTTCCTAAGTGGTATTAGTACTTTTTAAGTAAACACATCACTGTTAATATAGTCCAAACACTGTTCTTTGTTGGTCTAAACACCATGTTGATATAGCCTCAGTGAATCTACCCAAATAATTTTCATTATCAAAAATAATTCCATTCAATATAATTCTTCCCATTATTTTTATTAGCCTCTTCTAAAAAATTATTCTAGAATATAACTCTATTGGATATACTTCCACCTGACATCTTATTTGAATAGTGACAGTTTTGAGGGGAATTTTCTTGCTAGAACTGATCATATTGGTCCCTGAAGATGACTAGAATCAGACTCAGGTTTCCAATTCTGTTATCACTTAAGGCCAGGGAAGCATGAAGTTCACAGTCAGAAAGCCAACCCTGGAGTTTTAAGGACATTTCAAACCTCTCAGTTTCTTTGATTTGGTCAAGTAGACCTAACTTATCTCATGGGAACTGGATTCCTCATGATGTTCTATTTCTTGTACTGGGTCAAATTGGAATAACTACCTCTATTATTATATTATGGATTTTTCAAACAGCGTTTCTTCCAGGCCAAGAGGTATAGAAAACAGAAATAACTAGGTCATTCTTTCTTTACTCAAACTATCCCTCTTACCCTGATGAGCCCATCTGAATCTATCCTTTCCTATGACTATCAGCTATAGAGAAGGAATTTATTCTGACAGCTTCAACAGCAAAGTGGTTAATATGCATCTTAAGTATGAATCACTCATTCTTCTGCCTTGGCATTGGGTCCTCATTGTACAACCCAGTACAGTACTTCAGCAACATTTTTTTTTAATTTTAAAAAGCAAAGAGTTACAAAACTGTTTGTAATTAACTTGAAATAGAAAAGATAGCACTTTTTTTTAAATCCCATTATATAGTACACCGTATAAATTACAGAGTATTCAAATGCACAAACGCATCTGGGTAACATTTATCAAATGTAATTTGAGTGTCTTTATGTGCACACTCATGTGTGTTCTTGAGAGTTTGGTTGTCCACTTTTCTGACGCTGGACCTCTGGCTGTTACGTATGGCAATGCTCCAGATCCGGCACACTGCTGTTGCAGTATCTCATGTTGTTGGGGATATGGCAGTCTGTGTAATTAATGCCCCCATTTGGGGTATAGATGGGCTGCAGTCTGAAATCTCCTTTAAGGAGCTGATCGTTATTTAAGGAGACAATCTGAAAACTGGTTTCTGTCATCTCCAGGATGGAGTTGTCCTTTTTGGTGCCTGCCTCACAATAGTCATCTTTCCGTCGGCCCCTGTTGTATTTCCACTTCTGGGAGGTGTAGCGTCCCTTTTTGTGCATATGCCAGCAAAACACGCTGAGCAAAACCACGAGCACAAAAATCACTGCACCCCCGATTAAGCCCGCCAGCAGAAAAGGGGAGCCCATGCTGTGGGAAGTTGTCTGCTCGTGGCTAGAAGCAGTGTTACTGCCATTGTTCAAATACGAGGCATGGGTAGTGGCCTCGGAACAGATGGTATCCTCCACCGTGCGGTAGTTGAACGCATCCAATGGCACTAAACAAATCCGATAGGTGGATCTGGGCTCTAAGTTAACCAGATTCAGGTGTTGCTTCTCACCACTGACAATCCGTTCCTGAACAATTCCCCCTACAAGACTGTGGCCCAATTTTACCCATGTCAGTTTGTATGCCATCACAGTAAAGAGAGACAGCCAGCTGACTTGAATCGAAGTATCGTTAACAAAGTGGATGGAAAGCTGGATCCTTTCAGAAACAGGTGGGGTCACTCTTTCTCTGCCATCCCAGTCAGGGATGGTGGGGAGTTTCGAGGGGGTGGGAGCTAGAGGCACAGAGCCTTTGCTGGGGCTTGGAACAGAGGGAGTAGGAGACTGAGTTGTGGGAGAGACTGTAGTTGGAGCTGGGGTGAAGACAGGCAGTCCAGGGGTGGTGGTGGGACAAGATAAAAGATTCATATTCAGCTCCCTGACAGCCATTCCTCGCACTTGCTCAGGACCTTGGCACATGAAACCACGCACGTTAAGAGAAGAAGGGATATATTTGAGCCATTCGGTGACCCATTTAATACTGCAGTCACAAAACCAAGGGTTATTCCGAGCAGTGAGTTGTTTCAGGTTGGAGAGATGATCGAAGACGCCTTGAGTTAACATTCGTAGCTGATTGTTGGATATATCTAGCCGTTCCAGCTTACGGAGGTTTGAGAAGGCTGACAATGGGATGTGGGTTATCTGGTTATCCTGCAGGTAGAGCCTGATCAGGTGCGTACCTGGGAGGTCAGGAGGTGGGTGGGAGAGCGAGTTACGGACTATGGAAAATTCCTTGAGCTTGGTGAGATGGCTGAAGGTGCCCTCAGCAATGCCCTTGTTGGTCAGAAGATTCCCATCCACAATCAGACGCTCCAAGCTTGTGAGGTTCTGAAAGGCCATGTCTGATATCACTGCGATTCGGTTTTCATCCACTCTCAGCTCTTGCAAGTCTACAGGAAGCCCAACAGGCACGCTGCTCAGGTGATTCTTCGATAAGAACAACAGTTTGAGGCTAATGGCCTCTCGGAAAGCTCCGTCCTCCACCCCCACTGTAGATATGGAGTTGTCATCTAGGTGTAGTTCCTCCAGCTTCAGGAGCTGAGCGAGCGCAGCACGCGAGATGGTCTGGATGTTGTTTTCCTGCAGGTGGAGGACTCTGACGTTCTTGGGAAGGTTCATGGGGAATTCATCCAGTTGGTTGCCATACAGGTAGACCGTGTGCACTGATTGCACATTGTGCAGCTCTGCAGGAAATCCAGCATTATTAATTTGGTTATTGTGGAGGTAGAGTACGGTTACGCCCTCCGGGATCCCAAGAGGCACTGAGGTCAAGCTTCGCTCATTACAGTAGACAAAGTTCCTGTCACAGCGGCATACACTAGGGCAGGCCAGGAGTTTTGACACTTGTGAGGAGAGCCCCAGGGAAATGATGAGCCAAAGTTTTAGAAAAAAAGCCCTATGGCTGGGCCACTTGGTAGTCTGCAGGCCCATTGCTGAAGGACAGAAATAAAATACAAAGGGATGGAGGGGGTGGGATACTAAAAACAAAGGCAATGGCAAATAATAGTAAAAAGGGAAAAAAAACAAAACAGGAAGCAAAATCAAAATTACTGAAGCAGATTCTGTCAAAGTCTAGAGTTTCTGTTTGAGGAAATGGCCTGAAGGCAGATGGTAAAACTATCCTCCTGATGTGTTTAGTCTCATCTGCCTATGTCGCCCTCCTGCGGCCGTCCTCCGTGGGCAAAACAACTCAACAGGAAGGATTTTCCACAGAAGAGAAGAGTGATGCCAAGTGGTAAGTACTGTCAACAGAAGTCCAGCCAGTCAGACAAATCTTGCTTCTTCTATAGGAAGTCAGGCCAGTGCAGAGCAGCCTAGGAATTTCTTGGTTAAACAGAGTCTGCAACCTGTTGTAGAAAAGAAGACACGAGAGTCAGTTAAGTATAATAGTGGAATAAGTAGTGCGACAACTCACTCCTGGTACACAGTTCTGACCTGGGCTGTGTGTTGGGACTCAGGCTGGTGGCATCTTAAATGATAATACTTCAGTTCAAATGATGGTTAAATGAAATACATGACTGAAGTATGAAATCTTCAAAAGGAGATGGGACTATTACAGTTTATTATTAAAATTCCTAGGTAACTATTATACCTCAACCAGTACCTTTTCTTAAACATCTGTTTGCATATCCTGATAGGCAAGTGCAGCTGAAACCCTGTTGGATTTCTGGTGTCTGTTAATGAAGATTAGTTGAAAGCTCTGTGATTTTAAGATGGAGATGGGGAAATGCTAAGAGATTTGACATGAAGTCCTACAGATCTAGCAACTGTAAGAATGCAACATGGAAACTATGCCAATTGAAAATGCATCCATCTTGCTTAAGAACTTCTCCCCCAATGTGCTGCACTTCTAAACATAGATGCCATGTAATATCTTTAATATAGTAAGAAAACTGCAAATCTCTATGCTCCCATCACCTGCAAAATAAATTTTTAAATTCCAATACAAAATCTTGTTTGTGCTTATAGGAGAACCCTAGAGAATGCACTATAAAGGACAGGGGCAAAGGGTAATGAGAGAAGAAGGGAATCCTGAGACAAGTATTTACATACTACCTCTTTTTGCTGTGAACACACACACACACACCAAAAGTGGGATAATTATTTACCATTGTGCTAGTTAACAGTACATCATGATTAGAACCAGTATCATTAAAAATACCAGACATCTTTTTCCTCTGATACCATGATTCAACATAATTCAAGTATGAAGTCAAAGATTTCTCTTTTCCACCTCTCTCTCTCCTTTCCTTACTGTAGAATAGCTTAAACTCACTACCAAGGACATTGACCAAACAACAATGCATGGTTATTTACACTTAAGCCCTCCATTGAGGCCTCTTGGTATAACTGAAATAGTCCGTTGTGATCGCCCTAAGTGTTGTCAACTTCAAATTGAGAATACATTTTGTTTCAACAAGATCCCCTTTCAGTGTGAGGGAACTCTCTTGCCTTTACAGGATGACTTTTAGCAAGGTTTGGAAAGACAGAAGCCACAATTAAAGGCAGTCAAGGAAATCCAAGGATAGCACTCCTGCCGTCTTGCTCCGCAATGTGTTCCATCTGCTTTGAGACGGAGAGCGAAAGAAGTTAATTGAAAGGTGCCAGATTTTATTTCCTTACAAAATAAGCTAACATGACAGGGCATGGCTGACTGCAAGCTCCTCAATTCTCACCAATAGGGAGACTGGAACAACTTGTACCCAAAGCAGATAGACTACGCTTGAAATTATTTCCTTAGCTATCTTTAGACTTACAGTTTGAAATTGAAAAAGGAGTACTGCGAATGTTATCTAAGTGTCAAAAACAGTATACATTTATTCTGTAATTTGAAGGATAAAAAAGATCAATAAAGCTTTGGAATAATATATATATATATATATATATATTTATATATATATATATATATCTTGGTGCTGTACTTAGCTTAACTTGCCAATGGTCCTAATGTTTTCTAATACCTTGCTACTCAAGTGTGGTGGCTATCTCTGCAGCATGAGTCTGACGTAAGCTGTTGGTACAAACACGGTAACTAAGGATGCAGGGATGCAGATGGGCATGTGAGCAACAGCCTGAAGAAAAAAATGTAACAACCAGCCTTACTTGTCTTGAATTCTCCATATAATAAGCTTTTAGAAACTAAGTTAATGCATAGCTTTTATCTGAAGTCATGTATTCCTCGATGTCTCTGCCCAGAAAAAAAATGCATATATATCATTTGCTAAAAGCAACAAATACAGAGGTTGAAAGCAATCTTCTAAAATGAATAACTGTCACAAATATTGAATATAACATTTATGGGTAATGGTTGATAAATAATGATATTTATACTGCCGTTTGTTGTCTGGGTCACTTGAGATCAGTTGCATCTAGTGAGTCAATCTCTTATAAAAGTCCGTTAAAGGTATTTTGTAAAGTATCCCATTCCTTCCACACACAATGCTTTCAATGATGTTCAATAAAGACAGAGCAAAGCCCTTTATTTGGAACAGACACACATAGCCACATAGTCAGGCAGCAGACAGACACAAAAGGACAGATAGAGATACAGGGATAGATTCACTAGACAGTTTTCAGGCATGCACAGATTTAGATTCATATAACAGATAGATAGATAGACAGACAGACAAATAGATAGACAGAGAGAGGACAAAGGAAGGGAGCACGAAGTAAAAAAAAATTAAATCTGGTTAAATAACTCCAAAGGGAAGTACTTACATCTCCTTCCTTAATGTAACACCTATGCATTAATAGCAACTCTCAGTTAGTAACTAATGTCCCTAATTCACACAGAAGGGACCATGGGATTTATGGCCTAGTGGGGCTTAGAAGTTTAGTGAGGGGAAAGAATATGTAAGCAGGGAATTAGCAAACTATTTCAAGAGCTCTGAGAGTATAACACCCAGAGATCTGGCACTATGTAATGGTCTTTGAAATCTAACCCGTGACATATCAGAAAAAAAAAAAAAAGAACAAACAAAAAAACGCTAGAGATTGGAGGGAATGGAAACAAAGAAGGCTCAAAGCCCATCTGGAACATTTGTTATGAATACAGTCCGCCTACAATCTGAATCAAGACATACAACCCAGATCAACTTAGAGGACTAAAATTTCTACTGCAGAACACTTTCTGCAACCCTTTATTGTCCTTTTAAAATGCAATAAACACTTTAAAATCACTCTATAGTCCATTTACAATTGTTTAAAAGTTGGTAATAAAAAAAGCTTTATAAGATGAATTCAATATAAGGAGAACAAACTTTTTTTTCATTTTTTTCTGTACTCATATGGATACTATGTGGAATATGGCCCTCGCCCAACCCAGATTACAAAGAACAGCTATATAGAGAACTTTCTGGATAAAAACGGAGAGCTGCACTGAGAGTGGAAAACACAGCACCAAAACCCAGGATGTACAAATGCTGTGTGGAGACAGTGAGAACCCAGTCCATCCAATCTCCTAAAGATGGCAGTGACAAAAGCAGTTATGCTAGGCTACTGGGAGCTAATTTAACCCTTGCCACAGGAACTAAGACTCAAAGCATGTAGATGATGTGAAAGTTTTCTGCACATTCTTACGCCTAAGAAGTGTGCCTTTCTAATTAATCGCAGAAGGCTGAATTCCAGGAGTGCTTAATAAACTCAGACTATAAAAATCACAGAACAGAAAATAACATTTGTCAATAAGCACTGCCAACTGCATCACATAATGATACCAGGATAAACCTAATAAATTCTTCTTGGTTCCAGAGCTAGTGACAGGATCTGAATTGTGGCAGAACAACACTGAGCATGATGGATGCCCATAAGAAAGTAGGCCTGGGGATGCAGCTCAGCTGGGAGGGCTTACACACATGCACAAACACCTGGGTTCCGTACTCATGACCATGTAAACTGGCATGCTGTGTTCACCTATGATTCTAGTAACCAGATAAGAAATGCAGGGTCTTCTGTGGATACACAGTGAATTCAAAGTCAACCTACAATACAAGAAACAATTGTGAGAGGGAGGAAGGAGGGAGGGAGGGAACAGGGGAGGGAGGGAGGGAGGGAGGGAGGGAGGGAGGGAGGGAGGGAGGGAGGAAGGGAGGGAAAGAGGGGGAGAGAGGAAGAGAGAGATCTGAATAAAGAAAAGTTTTCCAGGATTGTGCTCCACTCAGACCAATTTTGGAGTGTAGCAATCTGAGTTTAAAATTGGACCCTTACAGCTAGCCTGAAAATGACTTCCTTGCAATATAGAATCACCAAAGATATTAAAGATCTTGTGCACAGCTCTTATTCCTAAGCACAAGTTATAAGTACTGTGATATAACAATGAACATGCTTTGTTAGATGGCCAAGATGTGGGATTAGAGAAGGAATTTAAAAGACCAGAATAGCCTCTCCCCCATCCTGAAAATCACTCAGAAGCAGAAAGGTACATGAAGGGATGCCCAGGAGCAGAGAAAGATGAAGGGAAAAAAAGAAGATAGTCTAAGCAGTGGGCCGGTTCCTGGCTCCAATAAGTCTAGATCTGAAAACATGAAAAGTAAAAATAAGACCTACTCTAGTGAAGCATAGACTCTAGGGGTTTAAAAAGGCTTTAAACTGTGTATCCAAGAAAGACCTTGAAGTTTTGATCTGGTTACTAGAATCATAGCTGAACACCAGCATGTCAGTTACATGGTGATGAGTATGGAACCCAGGCCTTTGTGCATGTGTGTAAGCACTCACAGCTGAGCTGCATCCCCAGGCCTACTTTCTTAGGGGCATCCCATCACAATCAACAAACAGACAAACGAACAAACAAATCTGAATACATATTCACTACTGCCACCTGTCTGGCTCATTTTACTGGGAGTTCAAGGGGTGATTGCTAAGTGATTCCTGCAGTTTAGGGGCTGCCAGACACTGACCACCTTTCCACATTAAACTCCCTAGACGTTAGTTTGAGCCAGCACTTGTGTGACTGGCTGTGTTGACAGATGCCCCTGAAACAATTCCTGATGACCACCGTCAGAGGTTTGGATTAGTAGCCATGCAAACTCAATTGCAGAAGGAGAGAATGAAGGAATAACAACAACAACAACAAAAAGGGGCATGGTGCATCAAGAATGATCCTCCTAGAGCTTTTACCTAGAAACATTTTAGTCCATTTCTTAAGGTGGCTAGGCATGCATACTGAAGTGATGTTTCCTGGGTAACTGACTGATGGTCTATCGGGTTATTCTCATTAAGAACTGCTTTCATGGCATCTGAACAATATGTCCTTCTCTCTCCCACAACAGCCACATAGCGGTTGGTTTGCCATTCTAAAAGATCAGTGGGTTTGGGGTCAATTCAAATTGGCTTTGTTTTCAGGTCATCC